AAGCCTTACAGAAAAAGGATCAGGATGTTCAGAATGCTATGAGGTTATTGAATTTGTGTAAGTGTGCATTGCAGAACTTGAGAGAGAATGGTTGGAATACTTTATTCAGTAGGGTGATTGAGTATTGTGTTGATAGACATATTTTAGTGCCTAATATGGAGGATATTGTAGTGGTGAAAGGTCGACCTAGACATGTAGCTCAATAGGTGACTTAGTTTCATCGCTTTTACGTTGATTTGTATTGTCATGTGATAGACTCAATCTTGCAAGAGTTGAATGATCGATTTCCAGAAATAACTACTGAGCTCTTTACTTGCATTTCATGTTTAAGTCCAAGAGATTCATTTGCAGCTTTTGATAAGGATAAATTGCTACGTTTTGCTCAGTTCTATCCTTTGGACATCAATAGTGAAGAACTTTTATTACTTAGACCTCAACTTGATAAGTTTCTTTTGCTTGTGAGAATGGACGAAGCTTTCTTTAATCTCAATAGTATATCCTGTGTAGCTCAGAAGTTGATTGAAACTAGAAGTTCCTGTTATTTTCCATTGATTTATAGGCTACTCACCTTGGCTTTGATATTACCTGTGGCAACTGCAAGTGTTAAAAGGGTATTTTCTGCTATGAATCTAATCAAGAGTGATTTGCGCAACAAAATGGGTGATATCTGGTTGAATGACAATTTGGTGGTTTACGTGGAGAAAACTGTTTTTAAACAAATTAAGAATGAGGCAATATTGCAACGCTTTCAAATTATGAGACCCCGTAGAATACAGTTGTCTAAGTTTATAGTTACAGAGTAACTGAGTAAGGTTGTATCGTATTTTTTTTTTTTACTATTTTGGGTTTTATCGAAGTATATTTTCATATGTATACGATTTTGACGTTTTAGTTCATTTACATATATATTGAATAACTTTTAATATTATGTAATCAAATTTTAATAAACGATCGAACAATTACGATTGTTGACAGTCAACGATCGTCGGTCAATGGTCAACCGCCCTAGCTGAACTTGAATCCTGGATTCGCCACTGGCTAGCCCGTGGTTACTTCAGCTTACACTGAAGTTTATGTAGTCATCGAAATGAAAACTTTATTGTCTTAGTGGTTACTGAAGTAAATTTATTTATTTATTTTTTTTTCAATTTTGAAATGCGTTAGTTTGTTTATCGGTACTGTGATGTAAGATCAACTTGAGGTTTTCTCGTCAGACAAGTGTACTGATTTTCACCAAGTGACTAAAAGGGGGGGGTTACAATTTTAGGAGGAAATAAACTTCAACGTCCAATTCAATATAAAAAAAAATAAAAATAAAATAATAATAATAATAATAATAATAATAATAATAATAATAATAGACTATCTGCATCAATGGGCTGATCAGTTTCACGTGAGACAAATTGCAAATGTCAAGGGATTACAATTTTAGGAGGAAATAAACTTCAACGTCCAATTCAATTTGAAAAAAAAAATAATAATAATAATAATAATAATAGACTCTCTGCATCAATGGGCTGATCAGTTTCACGTGAGACAAATTGCAAATCATTTTTTTCACACTAGCAATGATCATCACGATATATTACGATGAATGATAAAGTCAATAAAGCGAATCACATATCCATAAATTTATTGGATTTATCATTTCATGCTATATGACTCGTAGGTGGTGATAAATAGCATTATTCATAGTACTTGAGGTGAATTTCCGAGCCAAATGGACAATATAAGTTTGAATTGTGCATCTCTGATCAGCTATAACTTTTGGGGAAACAATTCTTCTGCATCATTTGGTATCCAACTCGGTACCTGAAGGTCGGTATTCGATTCTCCAATAAGGGCTAGGATGATACGGAGCATGTTTGAACATGAGAGTGAGCCTGTTGGACCTCAAACGAATATTGCTTGGGGTAGATTACTTATTAATAATAGCAAGTGTCGGCTATAACTTGTGGAAAAAAATTGATTGCATCTTCCATTATCATAAAGTCTTCCACGAGCAGTTGGGACCCCTTCAAAAAGTGTGTGTATTGCCTTGTTTTTTCTCATGATTTAACAGGAAAAGCAAATCAAAACATAATGAGATTCTTACTGATTTTGGAGATCACCAGAAATATTACATAAAGTGAGGGATACAGGTGGGCCGTTAATGGAGTAGATTATCATGCCCGTGATTTATATAGAAAAACTCTAAAAATTCAATTTGGATTTTATTTCGAGATTTATTTCATCAAAATTTCCGTCTTGACTCAACGTATGCCCAGTCCTTTTTCTTATTAAAGCTAAGACAGATTCTCCAAGAAAAGTCCTTGCAGTTCGTAGAAGTTGCAGACTTCCTCCTAAAGGTAACAATCCAGATTCAGAGAGTTTTTGATTATATTATTTCTTGGAAAATGTGTAATTTTATCTCATGTCAGTCTCTATGTTTTCGTGCCCAAGCGCAGCCAAACACAAACGATACTACTCTAAATACTATGCATTATCCACTCAATCGAGAACTAAAGTTTGGATATCTTCGACTGCAAATTTTTTTATTGCTATATTAAGTCGTTCCTACACTATATACAGTAATCTGAGGGGACCTTGTGGTATCTCCATTTAAACTTCTTCTCGATGGTTAGTAAAATCTACTGCGGTCAGTGTGTGTAGCTAAGCTTCGAGGATGAACCATTATAATTATGTTAGTATATCGTTTTCTGATTTCTTTTCTCGTTAATCATCGTTCTCAGGATTCGAGCTAAAGTGTTTAACAATTGCAGGACAGCAATGGAGACAGAAGCTAAAGTCAACAAAGATTTGAAGGTCGAAATTATCCAGGTTGTCTCCCCAACATCAGGGTCGACCATGAATACAGGAGGGCTAGCGAGGCAAGGAAGTATCACAAAGATCAATTGTCTATGCTCTCCCACCACTCATGCAGGTTCGTTCCGTTGCAGGCTTCACCGCTCTCCAAGCCTCCAACGAACTAAAAGCATCGACTCAACGGCCCTCCGGGATTCACAATCCCAAGCTAATCCAACTACTGAAATCCATAGGAAAAATAGTACAGTGGAGGCTGAGCATTTTTGATATGGTGGGTTGAACTGTATTAGAAAGTGTTGTGTAGGAAAATAAGTTAAAATCTTGTCTGTCATACCGTCTCTAAATTATTAAGGCCCGGTGTTATATATATCCGGTGTTATATATATTGTGTTGGCTATTGTGCTACTAATTCTATGTTCAGTTTTGTTTATTGAAGACCTCGAATGAATCTTCTGCACCACCTATTTGAGCCCCATGATTGATATAGGCTCGTTGGATTCTCATTTTTCTCACTCTTTTTTTTAATCACACATTCTTAATTAAAATAATATTATATGTAAATAAAAAACTTTTCATTCATATTCTCCATCAATCTACTATTCTAAAATTCATTTTTCCTTAAAAATGGGTGTCAAACACCCTCATATTGTTCACCGCAAGCTTTATCAGTATATGACAATGAAAGTTTCTATATTTTTTCTTGTTTATTAGCCTCTTTTACTGAATTATTGTTCAATAATCAACAAGAAACTAAACAAAATTTTTACCCACGATAGAGAATTCGTTGACAGTACACTTTTCCTCCTGCATTTAGTTTGCACAAAGTGAGGTTCGTCCAAGAAATTTCTCTCGGTGTAAAAAGTTTCATTTTCCGTGTTTTTATTAACATGGGTTACACAAATAATTCACAGAGGATTAGCCTATCCTAAAAGATTACAAAGAGCTTTGCAAGAATTAGGATAAGAAAAAATGTAAAGCCAGGGTATAATTTTCCCTCTTAAAAACAGAAACTAAACAAAATTTCTCAGTTCTAATGACTTGGAGTTCTGTTAATAGAACATAGCCTACTGAACATTCTTTTAGGCCTGTTGGGAAGCATACACAAAGTCTTGGCCTTTGAAGATTTTTCTTCTCCATTTTCGTCTAAGTCCTTGTTTTCTCCTAACTTCGGTTTTAGGGTCGAGACCTTAGATTTCGGTGATTTGAGTCCCGAGACACTCCATTGATCGTCTGCTGCCGTTGTTGCATTAGTACTAAATGATGCTGTAGGCTTTCCCGGATTGTTATGAGCCGATAAAAGTGCTTTGATATTCCTAGGAAGCTCGTTTACGTGGCCACCAGCAGTCGCAGCTCGTGCTTGCTCACAGAAAAGAACTTGCACTACTACCCTCAGAGGGAGCATCTCATTTTGTGCAGCATGCATACAAACTGCCACAGATAACCTTTTGCAGTCTAGTATTCGACATAGGCGCTTTCTTTCACTCTTGTTGAGTTCGGGATGTCCCTGCACCAACATCGTTGATTTTCACATTATTGTACATGCTCAAAGCAAGATAAATTTTAGTTAAGAAAATGCAAATAAATCATTATATGCTCAATCTATGTATTTGTTTGAGCCCCATTCTTTTAATAAGAATAAATTTTTGAATAGTGTATTAATGAGAAATGCGTGGTTAAAAAATGAGGAAAAAAGTTTCTAATTTACGTGTAATATTATTTTATTGAAGAATGTGTGGTTGAAATGATGTAAAAACATTGATTAAGAATGTATTTTTTTTCAAAGAATGGGAATCAAACAAGGCTATATATGGCTATTTGACAAAGTTTTTGAGAAGTTAAATGTTACTTTTGATGCTAAAAAGCTAGTTTTGGGCTATTTGGAAAATTTTCTAGAAGTGATTTATCTGAATAAGAGAGCTTCTAGAGGAAGATAACTTAGTATGGCTTCTCCAGAAATTCTTCTACGAAAAGCTGAAGCAGAAGCTATTCCAAACAGGCCCCCAATCATTCAAGAAACTTGAAAGAAGTGTTGTTTGTTTACCTTGAGGTATGTATCAATAGCTCTATAAAGGTCATCGTGTTGGACCCTTGCGAAATCTGGAACAGAATCTGCAATTGCAAGAAACTTTGATAGAGGTAATTTTACATCTCGGGCTATTTCTTGAAGATATCCATCGACAAGCTTTGCCACGTTGAGTTTGGAACTATGCGGTGCAGAAGATGATCTCCGGCTCTCTTGAAACTCGAAGTCAGCATTTTCTGCAGAACGAGACCTTCGCCTTTCAAAATTTCTTCGGGTTCTCAGAGGACTAGTAGGGGGACTCTGCCCTTGTAACGTGAACTGCTCTAATATTGTCCTGACTACATCGACATCATATATCGTGTCATTCGTGTATGATAAAGAGGGAATCAACAAATCATTAACAGTGGCATCCTCCAATTGAATTCCAACTCTTCTTGCCAATTCCATCTTTGTAGAGGAAGAAGCTTTTACTATGTTAACTGCCTTCAATAATTTCAAAAGAAAACTACTCGAAACTGCACCCTTCTCTGCTGGTAACAGGCTAACAATTGATTCTAACAGTAGCTTATGTTTTGAAGTTATCACCCGAGTAGAATCCAACTCGTGATCAGATTCTATTTCTTTCTCAATGTTCATGTATTTCGATATGTTTGGTAGCCAACGGGATGCATAAATACGCAACGCATCACCAATCAGATTACCGGGGACTTTTCCCCCAGATTTGATGGCTATCATTGTTCTCCAATAAAGATCTATGCCTAATTCTGCTATATCTTCAGCCCACCAGCCTTTCGTAGTAGGGTTATGTATTAGGCTTTCCGATCCATTACATGATATATCATCTCGAACCCTTCTCGAGTAACTATGCGACAAACTCACCTTTGAGGGGTGTGCAAGAACTTTAGAAGCTATAGCATCAATGCATCTGCTCATTATCCCAAGATCCTCGGCCCATACACCGAATCCTCTCGTGCTCTGTAACGTTATAATTGAGTCCCTCCACCCGTGAAGTATACAAGAATTGAAGAACACTTCGAGTTTGTATTTTAGATTTCCCTTCTCAACATCCTCAGTCATTTGAAGGTATTCTGCTGCACATCGAACCGAGACAATGTTGTAGGCACTAAGAGTGATGGTAATGCCATAGCAGAATTTAGCGCACAATTCAAAAGCCTCAACACCTCCCGGAAGATCAGGGATTTGGACGATTTGATGCTGTGAAGTTTCAGGGCTGTCGGCACATAACTTCTGCAGTCGCGAACACTTGGATAGCAGGGGAAACTGTGTTATCGAAAAAGTCAAGACAATCAAATTCTTGAACACCGAAGAATTAAATTTTCCATATGAATTGCAATGTCTATTCATAGAATTGTCTCTAAGTTGAGAGATCACACACAAAATAGTTACAAAATTGACCTTGTGAAGTAAATATCTGTTTCCTTTCACTTGGACTATTAGATCACTTGTAATCTCTGATGACACAGACCTGCATCAATAATACAAAATCTTGGTCTCCATTGGTATGGTTGAAGGCCTAATTCTTAACATCACGAGCAATAATAAACAGAAAAGCAATCAGAAAACGAACTAAGTACACGTGGCTTTACAATGTTTACTTCCAATGTGGAAGATACGTCCATTTATCACCACTGGTTTTCACCATAACAAAGAAGCTCCTCACATACCAAACCACGCCCCCCATAAAAACTCTTAATATATGTAGTCGGAATATCAGGTCGATCCACGATCAAAGGGAAAGTGTCCAAGTACTTTTTTGATCAATACACAAAACATTCACACCATATATTTAAAATTTCTAGAAAAGAAGTAGAAATAAAGCAAGAAAATTACCTGACAGCCTCAGTAGTGTAGAAAGTATCAGGTCTAGATCCAAGTTTCATGAACTTCATTTCTCAGGCTTGTTTTTTGTTTCTTAAACTCAGCTAATTACCAGAGGAACGGCAACATGGCAGATTCAGACAAAACACAATATCTAGACAGTAAAAATTCTTGCTTTGTTGGACAATACAATCTTCGAAATGTTCCACCTCCAGCTGCAAGTAAAAATATATCGTCCGAGTGAGATCTACCACCACCGACATTTCCATCATTTATATCCCTAAACTCAATTACCGACCAACCTTTGAAAAAACTTGAAGCGAACGATTTAAATATGTACAGAATTTTCTTGAACACAAAAAGATAGCCTAAAAAACATGGACAAATAAATATGTCACCGAATTTAGGAAAGACAATAAAATATGACCACAACCTGAAATTTTAAGGTATCTTGTACTCTAAAGTAACTGCCAATCATTCCCAGGGAATTCACAAACTACTGTAATTTTGTGAAATCCTAGTGTGATAAGTTTTCTGGGCCTTGAAGTTTGGACTATGCTAGATGTACATTAAGGATTAAGGGGTAGGGTGTCCATAATGGATATGTACATCTAGAATAATCCTTGAAGCTTTTCTTGCAAGAGTGCAGGGAATGACAGAAAAGAGACCCCCGCTGTCTTATTGTGTCCCTCTCTCATCATTGCCACAGCAAAAATTTACTGCACCGTTCTTTAGACCAAAGGATTATTAAAGTCAAACACCATTTTGTACTCTAACTTTGTACTACGCACATTTGTGTTTATCATAGTCGATCTTAAGTACGAGTAAAAGATCGAATCTCATGACATGAATCTTCATTAGTGAAAGTTGGACGAAGGTTAGCTAGTGTACCTCATTAGCGACTAGAAGTCTCTAATGGTAAGCAAGGGTTCTCGTGATCCAATGGACGAACGCCGGATGAGGAAGACATAAATAAATAAAGGAAAGTGACTTTATATGTATATTTATATAGTCATCCACATATGAAGTTAAGTGGAAAAGTATATAGTATATATTATTGTGTTTATAATTATTTTGTGAAAAGAATATGGAAAAGCAATGAAAGAAGTTGGAGATGGAGATAAAAAAGAGAGAGAGAGAGATTATGTATATCACTATTGAAAGATGGCTTTAACTATTCTTGAATATTGGCCTCTCAAGTCCAGGATATATAAAGAGGTTCCCTGGAAATTGCCCTTATATTTGTATAAAATAACAATGTGATCGTTCATGCATTAATTATTGAGGGCCATGCATTCAATAAAATTGTTTTCATGTTTGGGAGCGTTTAAAAACAATTTAAATCATAAATAGATGAAATGAGTGGTGTACTTTTGAATTCAAGTTTATAACCATAAACCAAATATAGACGGGACCATCTCTTGAATTATTTAAATAAAATGGAGGGAAATATTTTTCACTTTTATCATTTCAAAGAAATATATGTATTTTTGGAAAAAAATTATATCTAAGTTATATTTTCGTGTCTTAAAGACATATTATAATTATTCGGATCTTGATACTATTGAGTTTTAAAGTTCAATTTTAAAAGGCCAACCTCATTAAAAGGTGAAGCTAGAACCCTTATATATTAATTGTTGTTTTCATATTTAAAAGAGATTACTGAGGACAAAGAAAGTTTGCACTCATAATTGAGCTTGATTCGAGTTTGTATATTTAGAGCAAGTGGGTTACCAATACGTTTGTTCCCTTGTGAGTGGAGAAACAGTTCCTAATCATGTCATGTGAATCCCCTACAAGCAATGTGAGGTTTTACCCTTAACATGTATAATCATTTTTTTTTAAGAACGCTATTTTTAAAACTCTCGTGTTAGTTTTGAGCTTTTTTAATTGATCGAAATGCTCATTTGAACCTTAGGGATCAAATACTATTTGACTCTTGAATGAATGTCAATGCATTCCTCAATTTACAATAGCGAGTTCTATTGAATTGTGCAGTTTTTACAGTCGAAAGATACCATTTTAACATCTTGAGGATTACCTCTAATTCTAAAAAAATAATCTACTTGTACAATATTTTTGTACAACATTGTCGACAATGTTGATTGTGGCAAAAAAGTGTTGAATGAATAGATAATTTTTTTTTTTTCAAACTCTCCATAGCATGTTGTCAAAATCATTGTGACATGCTGTCAAAATCATTATACATCAAGCATTGTCCAATTCTAAAGGTGTACAACCTATAAGGTGGAATATGGTAAAATCTAATAACTTTTTTCTTCATCCTTTAATTATACAGCCATTAACAATTGAAGTCAAGATTTTAATTCAAATTAAAATCAATAATTAATTTTGATCATACATTTTATGGGATCCACAACTTTTTAATAACACATTTCATCAATTTTTATCAAAATCTGATTTTAATTCCCATTAAACAGGGTATGATATGCCAAACTTTCTTTGAAATAGCACAATTCTTTCCAGAATGAGTAAAACTACATAATTTTTTTTCTTCTTCTTCTAGATAAAAAAAAATATATTTTTTGGGGGTGTGGATAATATTTGCATTGGATTCTTGTGATATCAGTAAATTTATACAATATCTAGGTCCAAGATATTTATAACAAAATCAATGGCTGCAAATTGTGAGGCTTTACTAATTTTATGTGACCCAATTGAATGAACGACGAACATAGGAGTCACTTAAGCATGACGTCAACATGTGAACCTACATTTATCTTTCATATTAATATACTTAATTCTATTGTTTAAAATATTAATGATTGCAACCAGCTTGTAAGGTAAGTCCTCTCATTACTAATATACAATAATAGTTTGTTTCATAAGGTAGGTTACATAATATTAGTAGTAGTTGATCCATTGTCAAATCATACAAGTCTTGTATAAGAACTTATAACGCGCTACAATTATAAAATTTGGCAACATTCAGGTTTATTCCTTGAGTGTTCATTAATGTAGTGGAAGGACGAGAAACTCAGACATAGAATGTCCTAGTATAGCACACGAGTGAAGTTGATCAACTCATTTAAATCTACATTACGTACCGAGCTCAAAAATTGACCAATTCTTGAACAAACTAGCACACCAAATTTTGTAACGTTGGATTTTCAATTAACTCAGGACATATTAGCTTTAGCAAGAGTCAAGGAACAACTTGATATTATGTCTAATCAATTTTCTTTCTTCCTTTTTTTTTTTTTTTCAAGGTCGTCTTGTGAAAATTGCTAAGAGGCAACTTTTCAGACTGTCAACTTTGAAGCATGCCTTTTGAATGTATTGTCATGATTGCAAGCTGAATGAAATGAAATAGTTAAGAGTATTTTTCTTTTATTTATTTATTTATTAGAGGAAATTTCACAAAATATCTATTTTTACTTAGTCACTTACAAAAATGTCTAATTTGAAAGAATATAGATCAAAATACCCTTATTAACAATTTATAATTCTATACTAAGACAAAAAAATGGACATTTTTGCAATATTTTTGTTGGCCAATAAAATTTTGACACACAACCTGCCATATTTATTTCAAAAGTATACATATCAAATCAAAATAAATGTCATGTTTTTTATTGATTCAGAAATGTTGAGAACGACATTTTTAAATGTAGAGAAATGTCATGTTCAAAATGAGATGTCATTCTAGACAAATGAAACAATGTTCGAATGTTGAGAATGACATATGAAATGTCGAGAAACATTATTTTAATGTAGTTTTTCATGGAAGCTACTTCTCAAAATTCGAAACAAATTGATAAAAAAAAAATCAAATATCGAGAACGACATTTAAAATGTCGAGAATACCATTTCAAAATGTATCTTTTCATTAATAGCATAATAGACAAGTTGACACTAAATTCAAATGAGTGAACACTTTTCAACTCATATTCTTAAAATTGGACATTCTTAAAAATGCCCCTTATTATTATTATTATTATTATTATTATTATTATTATTTTGCAATTTGATTTACTACAACAAAGCCAATTCATTAAAATATGAGAGCACATTGAGCAATAGTTCTTGCCAATGATAGCATTAGGTTGCGTAAAGCTATCAATAATTTTCTTTTAACGGCAAACTAAAATGATTTGTATTAATCATAAGTATAGATCTAAAGAGGGGCAATCAAGGATGTGACAGTAGTATCCTAAAGCTTTCATTTCGACGTCAATGTTGTAACAACTTCCTCTCTCTTTTTATAAAGGTTGAACTCCAACCTTGAGGGCCCTTACCATCCTTTCCTTAGAGTTTTGTGAGGGAAGTAAATCGCGGAAAGTGTCCCAATAGGCAAGGGAACAAAAGCTGTCTGTATACTGCGCCTATAAAGAGTTCAATTCTTCTCTCTTTTTGTAAGTTGGATTTAAGGGTGATTCATCACGAGTTATTAGAACATGCATCCAGAGAAGTCACCTCTTCTTGAGAGACCTCAACGATGGATGTAGTGGTGACAATTGAACCAAGAAACTCATCGGCTAGTCGACTTGGCTTGAAAAAGCTCTACCCACGGACGGCTCGGTCCGACTCACCAAGTTCGATGAGCCTCGCTTGTTTTCATGCCTATGAGACTGGCTCATGGGCAAAGCTCGACGAGCCTTGAGCCTTGGCTCGCGTCTCGCCATAAACTAGTGATCATTTGGTCACTTTTCAAAATGTTTTGAAAGTTTTTTTTTTTTTTTAATATCTATAAATACCTCTAATTCTCAATCATTTTTCTCACCACAAATTCTACAATCTCTCTTCCATACTTTTTACCATTTTAATTTCTATAATTCCTTATTCCTTTATTACTCACTCTATAATAATTTACTTATTTACATTCTACAATTTTTCTATTCTCCACAATTATATTACAATTACATACACAGATCACAATCCATTCCTAAAATCTTCTAAACATCGTTAATAAAGTGTATTGCCAAACACATGAAGTCATAGTGGAAATTACAACTATTTAAGTACGTTAGTCATTGATTTTGCTTCATCAAAAAACCTTCAAGAAAACGTAACTTTGAATCATATGGGTTGAATAATTCCTTTTTCACTTGATGTGTTTACATACTTAAATAGTTATGGTTCCCACTATGACTTTATGTGTTTAGGTTCGGCAAAACACTTCATTGACGATACTTAAAGCTTGATAATCACTCATTTTTTAATACAATAGAAGTATGCCGAAATTGCATGTTGTCAAGTAAATGATAACAAAATTTAGTTATTTATTTAATAATATTTTGATTTTTAAAAAAAAAAATTATACACGTAACAAGTTGATTGCATACAATTTTAACTCTGCCCACCGAAAATAGTTGGCCCCAAGCCCAAATAAACGGAGGAGGATTTTCTGAAAAAAATGTTTTCAAATCTAACTTCAAACTTTCAAATCTCAATTGCAAAACATTGGATTATTGAGTCAAGATTTTTTGTTCTGCAAATCTTTTTCTGAGTATGGATGTGTTCAATCAAATTGATTACTCGGAGCAAAAAGTGGTGAATACATATGCCGTAAGGAAAAGGCTCTCGCAACTAAAAATATTTTCTCAATCATTTGAAATCGAAAGCTGAAAAACTTAAAAACCATCTCAAGTTTCCAAGTATCATTAATGAACCGTGCCAACAAATTGACGATACCTGGAAAAATTGATGAGTTCTTTGCTTTCAAATGTTTAAACTAAAAAAAAAAAAAATGATTGTGAAAAAAATATACACATAACAAGTTCAAGTTGTTTGTATGCAATTTTAATTCCACATACTTGAAAATTAGTAGCTAGTCCCGAACCCAAATAAAAGGAGGATAGCTTTAAAAAAAATAAAAATAAAAGACTCGTGGGCCAAGCTCAACTCTTTCCATGAGCCACGAACTCAAGGGCCAATGACTGAAAAGTCAAGCATAAGCTCAACTCATGTCAATGAGAGCCTCGCTAGCTTGAATCGGTCCATTGCCATCACTAATGAGAGGACGTGGAGAGCTACTTTAAAAAAGTACTCATTGTGTGTAGTCTCCCCACTAAAAAGACAGATTGTCGTGAGAGTTGATTTTGAGGATGATTTCTCCCAAGTCCTTGTAGTAAGACAGCCCTTTTGGGAAGTACTTCCAATGAAATTTTGGCCGCATAGATTCATTCACTCAAAAATAAAATAAAATAAATTGACTTTCACGTACCTCGTTTGTCAAATAGGCAAACGACTACCATTGAATCACTTTTTTCCTCGTGAATATTTTGTCTTGTGACAAATGCTATTTGATTGGACCTATCAATCGTGCCACTAATATTGTAAACCGCAAGTCTGACTTGGCTTAGTCAGTGTCCACCACTGTCTAAAAACGGTGCTAGCAACCAAGCCTGCCTTGGCTCAATCATGTCCACCAAGGACCACGACTCAACCATGCATTGGCTCCATCTATATATGCCTAATGGTCTGCCGGGTCACAATCCGTATGCTACCCAATCGGGTTACCACCCGACAATAGTGGGACCCATTTTTCCATATTTATGGTTTGCGGGACCCTTCATCTTTTTTCTCTGGGGATAAGGGCCAGAGACTTCAATACAGTGGAGTGTGACTCAATGATTTGACTCGTCGATTTTCAGTTGGGTCCGGGTTTTGAACTCAATTGGATAAAATCAACTTTTGAGGAAGATAAGATATTTTTTCCAAGAAAAATTGGAGATGTAAAAGGATTGACTTTGCAGTGAATTATTTATTGCAGAAGAAATGTCATTATCACTCATAATTTTAATAACAGAAAAAAGTCTTTGTTTCGGGAAAAAAAGTAATTGTAATTAAATTTTTTTTCTAATTGAAATGAATCGATGAATTATGTGAATCCCTTTTAACCATTTTAATCACTTAAAGTGCGTTTGATTGTTTATATTTTTCATAAAAATGTATTTTTCACCAAAATTTCTACTTTTGTGCTGTTTGATTGTCATTTTTGTCCATGAAAAATATTTTTCCACTTTTGGTCACGTGACCATATTTTTTTCAAAATCAAGGAAAATATTTTATTTAGGAAGAGTAGGATTTTATTTTCCAAGGAATTCGCTCTCTCTTATTTATTCAAGAATTTTATTTTCCAAGAAATTCGTCCTCTCTCATTAACCCACTAATAAAAAATGAACAAATATAATATTTTTTATGTTGAAAATTAAATCAATCAAACGCATTTAATTGACAATTTCCATATAAATAAATTATAGACAATTGAATTATTTAGAATTTTTTTTCTTTCCATGTAAATTCTATACTTGCAATCAAACGCACTCTTATATATTGTAGTAATTTTGAAAATTGAAACCATACAAACAACCTCGAAATTAACGACTCTCTCTCCCTCTGNTTTTTTTTTATTTTTTATTTTTTTCCTTTCATGTCTTAATTACTCTTAAATTGGCATTTGCTTAGTCCCACCTATTGAATTTCTAAAGATGAGTCAGGACTCTCTCGAGGTGTAACTAGGAGGCCAATTAGTATGTATACTTTGTATTGTATCTTCATTTGATTACTTTTGTTCTTTTGTATAATCCTTAATATGTATTCTATGAAGAATATGCCAAGAACCAAAAATCCAAATAATATTGTGTTGTTTTAAATATTTAAAAGTTATGTAGTATGAAATCGAATATAATTGAGGTTTGGTTTAGGTTTGACTTTTGGAACAGAATATTTAATTTATAAGATAACTAATAATTCTAGGCGGGATTCAGTTTTCTCTTTGACATTGGATTGAATAAAATAAAAAATCGCTACCAGGCCCATATTTACTTGAAAGTTTGTGTGTGAGAGTTAATGTGTGACTATAACGATTTTAGTGGATGTACTTCAAAGTTTGTAGTGAGAGATAACGTGTGACTATAACAATTTTCATATATTGAATAAAATTTTACCTTAAAACTCGTCTTTTTCTTGATTTTAGAGTCCATCATTAAAATTCTATTCCTTTATTTATTTATTTATTTTTTTATGACTAAAAAAACCTGTAACTGCTACCATTTGAGTGCGTACTGAATAAACTTTTGGGTTGACGAATAACATACAAATCACGCTAGCCAGATAAATCCCATTAGGCAAGTCCGATACAACATGCTCGACCGAATAAGTATTGGTAAAAGAAATTGAATTCGTGACCAAAAGTCGCCATGCTCACCTACTCTACCAATTCGACAACCCAAGAGAGGCGCATCGCTAAAATTCTTAAACTGACTCAATGTTGTTATTCTCTATTTTCATTTTAAAAGGGCCGGTATATTACAACCACAAATTACTTTTATTGCACCACAACCAATTGCACTAAAGGTCTCCAACCTTTATATATTGTTGCACTTTTATCTTCAACTATTTTTATTGCATTTTTTTTCAGCATTTCAGTAATTAATACATATTGTCCAATGATCATGATTTTTTTTTTAATATTATGTTAGCATTCTTTGAAGCAGGGACAAACATTTTTGTCGTACTTTTTTATTTCTTTTTATTGTTATTTTTTAAAATTATGATGGGGAAATAAGTTTTTTTTTTTTATAACTCTTAACTCTTTTTGGACAAAAACTGTCGTAATGGAATGAATTTGAAAACTAATGGAAGATTAATGTTAAAAATGGATGAAAAAGTTGCGTCGTAAGTGTGACAATAAGCAAATTTTAAGGACCTTGACAGTAACTAAAAAGTAACGAAAGAATAATATAGTGACATTATAACTACTCTTTCTAAAAAAGAGGACGATGGTTGGATTTCATGAAAACAATCCATTTCGACAAATCCAAAATTGGTCCGAATTCCCGACAGAAATAAAAAGGTTCTTGTGGTACACATTGCTTGCAAATTGCCTTGTTAGGTGTGTGGTGATAAAAGTTGCAAATATCTTCTTCAATTTGTCACTATTTCACATTATTTTTAGGTTTTAAATTTTGTTTGTATTAGCTCATTCACACATGCACGAGACAATAATAAATGTGTTATTGCTAGTGTATCTTGTTTTTGTGCTCAAAATTGCATTGAGTTGTATTCAAATTCATTGCCAAGTTAATTATGTAAAAGTCGCACTCAGTTTTTGCTAAAAATGGGCCATCCCAACAAGACTAATAGGCAACAAAAGATCTTCCTTCTACATTTTGTCTGAAAATTTGCTACCTTAAATTTCCTTTGGCACCCCACCAGTGAAAACTCAATTCCAGCCAACTCATTATCCAGGTTCCATAAGTCGACGTACAACTAATTAAAAGGACTCTCGCATATCAATAAAGCTATATGAACAGACAATTGACCACTCTTATTGACAGGGATTCAAAATGAGTGACGTGTCCAATAAAAAAGGAGGGAAATGGGCTGGAGGCAAACGGGCGCATGTGTGGACTAAGCAAAAGTTACTGCCCTCATTGTAACCATTATGAACAGAAAATTTCCCCAAATTTCCACAAATCTTCCAACTTTGACGACGAACACACATTGGTGCTTCTTGGATGCCCAACTGCTGTTCCTTCGGCCAAACCCATAAAATAGTGACAGAGGGTTCTCTCCGTGTTGCCTTGTCATCTTGTTGTCGAATACCGAGTCGATTGGACGACTTTCATGGTCCAATGTCGAACCCCGCTAGGTCATGTTTCGCTATCGCACTTGAAACCGCTGAGCTGCTTCTCATTGTCGCCTAGAACATTAACGTATACAATATTTTTTTCTTGTTTGCTATTTTTTATTGGTTCCTCATTATTATTTTTATTTTTGGTTTTGTAAATGGGCAATTTGAGCATAGTTCTTCGACGAGAGGTATTTGCAGAAATCACAAATGCACAATAATAAAGAAAATACTATAACGATGAATAAACTGTCAATCATTGGACTGGGTTTTTAAATATCAATGAGAATTTGTCCTACCTTTTTATTTGACCAAATTGAAAAACTCAAATTGGTGGTCAAATTTTAAGCTAAGCTAAAAATTTAAAGAAAGCAATTAATGAATTTCATAACTTTGATTCAAAAAAATATGATAAAACAATTGTACCAGAAATCATGATTACCACAATTTGTCAAGTTTAACTTCGCTGGACAATATCTTATTCATGTTTCACATTATGTTTACTTCTTATACATCAATGACCACGTAATGAACCTAGGTTAGGGTTTATTCGAGGGTTTCGACTATAATGCTTGCGAAAAATAATTTTGTGATTACCTATTTACATACTTATCGTTGTGTTTATATGGACTTCTAAACATATCTGCAGCAGAAGACATTATGGAGGAAGTGCACAACAAGCATGTTGATGTTGAAGCAGAATTTGATGATGAGAAACTAGAAAGCCCCATTAACATTGTCGAAGGTGAAACCTCAGTGGGAGAGAAAGAGATAATATTTGCGTAGGCATGGAGTTCAAGGATGTAGTGGAAATGTTAAACTTCTACAAGAAATATGCTTATGTCGTTGGTTTTCCAGTAAAGGAAAGAAATTCGAAAAGGTGAGATGACAGACAGATGAGATATGTGACGTTGAGCTGTAGTCGTGAAGGTGGAAGAATTGGTAATACTAGTGGTTGTTCAAAGTTGCAACCCATTATTCAGATGGGTTGTAGAGCAAGGATAACAGCATCTTCTGATATATTTGGAGTCTGGAGAATTAACAATGTCCACCTTGACCACAATCACGAAATAAGTCCTTCAAGGTTCAGGCTATATCAATGCAACCGACAATTGAATGCCCATGTGAAACGCAAACTTCAAGTTAATGATTTGACAGGAATCTCATTGCATAAAAGTTACAATTCTGCAATTGTAGAAGCAGACGGTTATGTTAAAATGAGTTGCGTGGAAAATGATTGTAGAAATTATATTGAACAAGTACGGCGATTAAAACTTGGAGAAGAGGACGTTGTAGCAATACAATCCTACTTTTACAAAATGCAAGCGCAGTGCCCAGGATTTTACTTTAGCATGGATTTGGATGATGAATCGTAGCTTAAGAATGTATCTTGCGCAAACAATCGTAGTAGGCAGACATATAAAGAGTTTGGCGATATTGTTACATTTTATACAACCTACCTCACAAAAAGTATGACACGTCTTTTGCCCTCTTCATTGGTGTTAATCATCACGGGCAATCAACACTGCTTTGTTGTGGATTGGTGTCGAATGAAGACACTGATACTTTTGTCTGGTTGTTCAGTACATGGCTTCAATGTATGCATGGCATTGCCCCTCAAGGAATTATTACTAATCAAGACAGGTCAATGCAATTCAGATAGTTTTTCCCAACACAAAACATAGATGGTGTTTGTGGCACATTTTAATGAAATTGCCTGAAAATTTTGGATACCACGAGGATAAATCTAGAATATTTGGTTCTATACATCGATTGGTTTACGATTCATAGTTTGTGCAAGAATTCGAAGAGGGCTGGGCGGCAATGATTGATACGTTTGATTTGCATGATAACGAGTGGTTGTCTGGACTTTATGAGAACAGAGGTCGTTGAGTACCTTATTTTTTGAAGACTACTTTTTGGGCAGGCACGTCCACCACACAAAGAAGTGAAAGTATGAATGCGTTCTTCGACGAATATGTGCATTCCAAGACATCCTTAAAATAGTTTGTCAATCAATATGAATGCACACTGTGGAATAAGGTTGAGAAAGAATTTCAAGCCAATTTTTAAGTCATTTTCACAAATGGTACCATGTGCAACACAATATGAAATGGAGCAACAATTGCAGACAGTGTATACCATTTCTAAATTCAGGAAAGCACAAAACGAGTTCACGGGGAAAGTTTACTGCGACCTTGTCTCCAGTTCTGAGGAGAACTTTGGTACGACATATGAGGTATGGGAGGATGTTATGAATGAGGGGCGACGGACGAAAAAAACATTTTTTGTCTCATTCGAGAAAGAAAAGTGTGAAGTTATATGCAGTTGCCACTTGTTCGAATTTCGAGGAATAGTTTTCCATCATTCAATCAAAGTATTGATTCGTAGTGACGTCATTTTACTTCCAAAAAGGTATATACTTCAACGATGGAGGAGAGACGTTATTAGAGCACATGCAAGGGTCACGGCAAACTACGATGGTTTGGTTTGTTCTCCTGAATAGTTGAGGTACGATGAGATGTGTCGCACGTTTGCACAAGTGGCAGACCTTGCTGTCAATGACGAAGGGCGAGCACGTGTGATTATGGATTGGATAAAACTTCAGGCTGAAGACCTGATGATGTTAAGAAGGTCAGGTAGTGGAAGTAACGTGCTCTCACATCACATTATTCAGGGAGTCGGTGAGTGTACAGAAATGCGAAATAATGCTACCGTGAACATACGAGATCCGACATTGTCCAAAAGAAAATGAGCACCGAGGAAACTATGAAAAAAAAGGCCTGTTGGAGTCTATTTCAAACAAAGCTAAGGTACATCTAAATAAAGTATTATATAAAGCATACGATCACCTCTTCTTGTAATACTGATTGTCGTAGATGCACAAACAAAGAAGTTTGGGATCAAAGAAAGGAAAGAGACCCGATGTGAGGCGTAGTGACATACAAGAAAGTCCTCGTGACGCTTAGGAAGCAACCCAACAACAACACTCTATGCGGACGCAATTCCAATCATCAAAATATTCTATCGTGACACTGTTCCAGCACGTAGGCGTCTTGCCGACTTCAAGTTTGATACATCCATCCTGATCAACTGTTATATATACTTCACAATGTGTACACATAATTTTACATTTAAAATTAATCATGAAAGTTGTTCCGTCTATGCACCTATTAACGGATTCATATATTGTAGGTCAAGCTATGCCGTACTACATTTCACATTTACAAGACCGAGGAGGCTTTGACAACTAATCTTGGTTTATGATATGACAAGTGAACAGCAACAGTGGCTCCATGAAGATGTCGATTGCGGATGAGTGTTGTCGTTAAGTTAGATTCTATTTTGTTTATGCAGTGATGTTTTTAACACTTGAACTATATCCCACAACATAATCTTCCTTTTAGTTGTAAAGTGGCAGTATAATTCCACTCTAGTTGTAAAAGGCAGAATCATTAATCTTCCTTTTGTATGAATTTTTCATTTTACTAAATGTTTCAAATTAAGCATATTGGTTTAGATGCAATAATGCAATAATGTTCTCTGGTGTTTACATGTGGAAGGTATAATTTATTTTAACTAGTGATTGATTGGGGTGAATAGATTTTGTGCTCTTTGTTCTAATGATTTTGGATGTCCTTGTGCTCAGTTTGCAAAATTGTTGTGGTGATGATGACTTGCATGTTGAAAAACAATCTTCCATAGAATATAGTCTTTTTAGTAAGCATGTAGTTTCAATTCACTCGACTTTTGACAGAAGATTGTCTCGAAGAAATAGCCTCGAGGTGAAAAGTTTACCTACAGCAACTCGAGATAGGTTCCTAATTGACTTCAAGTTTTGTTCCCATATGTGTCAGCTTACTCTAAATGTATGGAGTTCTAGTTCCAAAACTCTTGTAAGTTGCTCCTCGTGATGTGGAGTTTAATTCTATCCCCTTCACTGGAATCGGCTTAATATTTCTATGATATATATAAAGAATTTTAGGTAGGAGAGGGCGTTTTCGGGTGGACGAGATGAGGGGTGAGTAAAAAAATATTGTAATACTCTTTTTCATTTTAGCAACATTGCCAAGTAACTTTTAAAGCAAAATTAAGAATAGTTACTGCTCTAGCATTCCTTGTCTTCAACATGAAATAGCAATTGGCCAAAATTAATAATAGCCACTGCTCCAGCTTGACACAATAAATATTACCAAACTCCGCATAGGGTAGAAACGTTTAAACATGTTTAAACAAGCTAGCAATACTATTTACACTGTGATATCATTACATAAAACAGGTTCACATTGTCTGCAACACAAAACTAGCACAAAGTACTTGAAGGATTAGTTGCTATAATTTAACATCAACATTAGAATCCCTCTAATCACTCTAACAGTTCTGCAAGATCCACATAATCTTCCATTTCATCATCACTTTCATTTTTTGATCCAAGAAGCCACTATTCGAAAAAATCAACTTCCTCGTCTTGCACGTAAACATCATCCATATCATCCCATTGGTCTACTCCAAGCTCCTCTCCACGGTAAACAACATGCAAGAATGGTCTGCTTCTTGCTAAAGCATCGACCAAGTCTCTATTCACAAATCCAGTTACTCCCAACCATCTCAATCTTGGGAAATAAGGCTTTTTGAACCACCGAAATGCAAGCTGAGTGATACCTCCACAGTTATAAAGATCCAACAATCTCAAGTTACTCTCGTGCCACACCATTTCGTCAATTTGGATGGAGGCTAATGCCATGTGCCATGACAGAAGTATCACCTATGAGAGGACATCGTCTCATTCAGATCTCAATTATTGGAATACGAGTTTTTGCAAGCAGAAGCACAGTAGCATCAGAGATATTAGGAAGATTTGACAGATCCAATTCTCTAATTTCCTTATTAGAAGAACCGTTAAACAGGGAACATATGCATCTCCAGAAATTCAAAATATAAGTATTACATATAGATTGCATAACTAGAAATCCAACAACCATCAAAACAGACTTTTTTTTTTTTGTGCACATCTACTAACATTTATAGGTTTTACTATTTACCTTTTTTTGCAGATATGCAACATAGTGATTCATATTTATACAGGATTCACCATTTACTTTTCCTGTATATGTTCTCAATATTCTATCTTTCCAAATCCCAAATGACAGCAGTTTACCCAAGTTGCTAAATCCTTATAATCTATATGTAATTCGGCTCAACATGAGTATATAAGCTCTTTCAGTTACTAAAATCTTGCACAATTTTCTAATTTCCTTAAATAATATAATGATTTTCGCTAATAACAAAAAAGAAGAACTGATTTGGATAAAATTTTCTAGAAATAAAATGTTTCAAACAAGTACATGGACAAGAAGAAATAGTAACACCTTCTGCCATTGCATGTTACATATAAAAATCAAATTATACAAAAACCTAGGATCGAATAGTGGGCGGATATGGTGAAGCGTGAGGCGAAGATACCTCCAACTGATGTTAGGTCGACGGTGTGGGAAGGGTTTTCACCTTTCTTTGCGTCTTGGAATGGTTGAAGTAGTTGGGCGCTATTTTGGAGAAAATTGAAGTCTTCGTGTGCGAACACTTGCGGTGACACGTACGGTGGAAGTATTGTCTATGTGGGGGCGTAATCTCCAACTGACATACGGTTGGACGGTGTGGGGATGGTTTTTGCCTCTCTCATATTTAACTCTTTTCATCTTGGAATTAGTGTAGTAGATGGGTGATTTTTTGGGGGAAACTGAAGTCTTCATGTGCAATTGTACTGCCCACATTTTATATTTTAAGTGTTTTTTCAAAAAAAAAAAAAAAAAAAAGGTTGAACCCCAACCTTAAGGGTCCCCCACCGCCCTTGCCCTGGAGCATCGTGAGGGAAGTAAATCGCAGGTTATGCCTCCAAGAGTACAGGGTGAAAGGCTACTTGTACACTTGCACTTACCCAAGAGCCAAATCCATATTTCAGGATTCGAACCCTTGACGCGGCAACCTCAAGCAAAGCTGGATTTCTCCACCCTCATTTTGTTTTCAATGCCACCTCAGCTTGTTAGGAAGCCCTGTTCGTATAGCGCAATTGCTCGCATGTTCAACTTTGTGAAACTTGGTTTTGCTTCCCAATTTGGACTAGACGAGTACCAAGAAACTTGAAGTTGAGGCATGATTTTAGGTCCACATGATAACTTTTTGAAGATTTGGATTATTTACATTGTTTGAGGGCTGATTATTTAACCATTAACAATATCAAAAACACAGTGGAACTACCTAACAATGTTAGAGACACTCTCTCACGTTTTAAAAATTCATATTAACCTCCCTCTTTCAACTTATCTCCTTGATCACCTCTAAGACCAATTGAGTTTCTATTCAGAAAAAAGATAGGACT